GCGAGTTGTCTCTTTCCCTAAGACGAAATTCTTTGCGCACGGAGCATACGGCTCTGAATGGACATCGTCTTCCAAGATTACAACGCCAAAGCTTGGGATAAGAGCACTCCAAATCGCAAGTACGCCGAATTTGTACTTTGCTTTAGAAACTCTCACAAAAATATGCTGGGAAAGGTACAGACAGAATTGTACAATGGCAGCATATGACAAAGTCACATGATCAAATGTGTATATATATATATATATATATATATATATATATATATATATATATATATATATATATAGTACTATTACTGTCACTCACATTAATATTAATTCTTTTGGTTTTTTTTTTATTATGTTTACATTGGTTGAACGGTCAACATAGTAATATTACTTTATTACATAATAATAATGAGTTTTGTTGTGTTAATATTAATGTGCTAGAGATTAATATAGCAATATTACTGTGTTAAACTATTGTTTAGTTAATTTTACTATGTTTAACAGTAATATAGTTAATATTACTGTCAATCACAGCAATATTGCTGTTTAAACGGAAAAAAAAAAGTTACAAAAAAAAAAAAAAAAAGTTAAAAGTCAACGCCGGCGAAAAAATCCGGAAGAAAGAAAGAAAAAAAAAAGTTGAAAAGTCAACGCCGGACGGCGGGAAAAAAAAATTTGAAAAAAAAAATTTGGATCAAAATTGAATAATTTGTGAAATTTGGGGTTAAATTAAAGTAAAATTAAGTTAAGGATGAAATTGGAGCATATTAAAGTATGAGGGGTTATTTTAGTTCTTTACAAAAATATGGACCATGTGTGGACTTATTGGAAATTTTGTCTGGATCTCTTTATGAATAAGTACCCATTGATGGACTTATTTGTAATATGTCCTATTAGTATTGTTATTAGCATTATTATATTAGTATTATTATTCTATGTAATCTAGCACTTCATATGTTACAACTCTGGATCAACAGATAAATTTTATCTTTTCTTTAAGGGTAAATATGAAAACCTCCTGAACTTAGTCTCAATTACGAAAAAGCCCTCACCTATCTGTAATTACCAAAATCTCCTGACATTTCTTTCTATCTTAAACCGACCCCCTTATGGTGTATTTTTCGTGAAATTTTTTTGATTACTTGGAATATTTTCCAAAAATGCCGATTTAATTCCTACAGAAGTGACGTCTTTATACTACTTTTTAAAGGTAAAAATTACCATCGGTAGGCCTTTACATGGAATCTTTATTTTTCTTAAATAACACATTCGCAGTTTTATAGTATTACCATTACCTCTCTTAGAGTAATTTTTATCTTAAAAAAGTAACATAAATAAAATGCCACTTCATTAGGAATAAGATCAGAATTGTTCGGAAAATATTCCATGGAATAAAAAAAATTCAGATAAAAATAATACCATAGAAGGGTCAGTGTAAGACGAAAACAAATGGTAGGGGTATTTTTGGTAATTACGGATAGGTGGAGGTCTTTTTTGTAATTTAGCCTAAGTACAGGGAATTTTTTGTAGTGTACCTTTTTTTTAAGGGCAAATTACGGCCACCCGCTGAGCTATGGTGAAATTACGAAAACTCCCCTCCTGTTTGAGTAATTACAGCCACCCCCTCAACTATGTATTTATCTTACGAAAAGACCCCTCAAGAGGTAAATTTACGGATGTTAATTCGGTAAAACCGAACCAAAATTTCGGTACGCCAACATTTCATACCGTTTACCGAACTAAATATACGATTTGGTTCGGTAAATAACCGAATTACATAAATTTTACGTAAAAATATTTAAAAGGAGGGGTGGCTGTAATTACCCAAACAAGAGGGTTTTTTTCGTAATTTGACCATACCTCAGGGGTGACCGTAATTTGCCCTTTTTTAATTTCATTTTACCAGGATTCAATTTGTTACAATAATATAGTTTATTTTTTTTTTATATATATATATATATATATATATATATATATATATATATATATATATATATATATATATATATATATATATATATATATATATATATATATATATATATATATATATATATATATATATATATATATATATATATATATATATATATATATATATATATATATATATATATATATATATATATATATATATATATATATCTGTCTCTCACAATAAAAAAATAGCTAGAGATATATATATAGCTGTGTATACATGTATATTAGTTAAATATTTTTTTTATAAAAAAAAAAAAGCCCACACACAGATATATCTGTGTCTCAGACAGTTAATTATGTGGTGGACACAATATTTTTGCAACAAATATAGTTATATAAAAAAGAAGTGTTTTTTTAAAAAAAAAAAACTCTAATAATAGATAAATTTCTGTCTCAGAGAGATAAAAAACAGCTAGAGACAGTTATTTCCCCACAAATACAGTAATATAAATAAATATATTTTTGAAAAAAAAAAAGACTC